TCGGGACTGAGCCCACAATCCAGGCCTGTGCCCCTGACAGGAATCAAACCCAGGACCTTTCAGTCCACAGGCCAACACTCTATCCACTGAGCCAAACCAGCCAGGGCGTGTCCCCAGGGTATTGAGAGAGGAGAGAGAGAGAGAGAATCATCGGTTTGTTGTTCCACTCATTCAAGCATTTATTGGTTGCTTCTTGTATGTGCCCTGACTGGGGATCAAACCTGTAACCTTGGTGCATCAGGATGACCTTCTAACCAACTGAGCCACCCGACCAGGGCTGCTCCCCCTTTTCAGACTCTCTCCTTCCATATTTCAACCGGGCTAACTCTGGTTCACTTTTTAAGACTCAGCAACTTGAAAGCAGCAATGGTGTCTTATCATCTCTGAACCTTACCACCGGCAGCCCCACCACAGAGTTACTGTTCAGCAGACGCTCACTGAGCAAGATGTTTCCTGAGCGCTTAGACCCGCGGTGCGCTTGCTGTACAGGGAACCACACGTCCCAACCCTGGCACCCCTCCAAACCCACTGCCTTTTCTACCCACCCACCTCCCTCTGTACCAGTGACACAGCTGGGGACACAAATTCTAATTTCTTTTCTTCCCCAAAAAATATATTTTTATTGATTTCAGAGAGCAAGGGAGAGGGAGAGAGAAATAGAAACATAAATGATGAGAATCACTGATGGGCTGCCTCCTACACACCCTGCACTGTGGCCTGACCGGGAATTGAATCCTGACCTCCTGGTTCATAGGTCGACGCTCAGTCATTGAGCCACGCGGATTCTAACTTCTATGCCATCTCCTTCCCTACTCACTCTATAACTTTGGGAAAATAATGAGTTGCCTCTGTGTCTTACCTGCACGACGGGTTAATAAAAAGGAAAAGAGAAGATTAATTATTCAAATTAATATTTATTGAACCAGATCCTGTGCTAGACACTCTCATAAATTAACTGACAGATGCAGTATCCAGGCAAGACAGACTGTCTACCCTTCCCACAGATGAGGAAACTGCCGCTCAGGCTAGCTACGTGGGTAATTTGGCCAAAGCTGTGAAGCTGGAAGCAGACGTGTCTTTTCCAACCGAGTGACGGAGATTTATCATTCTCAGGGCCTCTTCCAGCCTCAGGTCTCTAGGGCAGAGGCCTTGCCATGTCCCATGGGACCAACTTCTGGTGAGCACTGCGTCTCACCTCCAGGCTCAGCCCAGGGCCTCTCCCAGTGCGTCCCACAGATCAGGGCAATGATCTCCTGCACTTCTCCTGCACCTGTGCGTGTGCGTGTGCGTGTGCGTGTTAACCCTCACCCAAGGATATTTTTTCCTATTGACTTTTAGAGAGAGTGGAAGGGAGATAGGAGGGCGAGGGAGAAAGAGAGAGAGACACATCGACATGAGAGAGATTGACTTTTAGAGAGAGTGGAAGGGAGATAGGTCAGGCCTGTGCCCTGACCAGGCCTGGGGATCAAACCGGAAACCGAGGTACATGCCCTTGAATGGGAATCAAACCCATGACCCTTTAGTCTGGTCTGCAGGCTGGCACTCTAACCACTGAGCAACCAGCCAGGGCCTGCACCTTTACGTTTTACACCTGTCATATGTTGCTAGAGGAATGGAGAGGAATGAGTCTTCCCATTTGCGGTGAGAAAATGGAGGCTCAGAGTGACTTACCTAAAGCCCATGGCACTACTCATCAGCAAGGGGCCCCTCGGAGAGGCTGACCAGCCCGGGGCCCATGGGCCCACTTTGCTAAGGTCCTGGGGGCAGAGGGTGGCTTTAGGGGGAGAAAACCGCAGAGCAGCCCACAGACCTGGGCTCTCAGCTGAGGTCTTACAGCCGCAAAACGACCAGGGTCAAGAAAAAAAAAGTGCTGTCCTTCAGAAAGAGCGCGTCTGCGCTGGGAGGAAGCCAGTCCAGGCAGCAGAGGGAGATGGGAGCTCCCCGGGGGCAGAACTTCTCTGACCTGCCCATCCCTGGTGCCTCGCACAGGCCAGGGACATATCGGATACTCAATACATATTGTTAACTTGAATATGGAACTTAGAAGGAGAGAGGCAGGGGAGGGACCTGGAGGGAGTTTAGGGTTGAGAACCCAGCGCAGGGCGTCAGCCCAGAGAGCGTGGGTCCGGGCGTGAGACACCAGCACTTGTGCTTCTAGTTGCTGACTCCACGCCCAGAGAAAATTCTCCGGAGAGGCGGGGGCTGTGGCTTCCAGGGGCCTCCGTGTAGCCAAGGAGTCTGCCCAGCTAAGAGGCTAAGAGAGTTATCCTCTCACTCCGGAGCTTGGCCTCCCCTCCTCTCAGCTCCCCAAACCCTCCCTCTGCTGTGATGGGTAATTAGATGTGAGAGCTCAGCACAGATGATGCTCCTGTTGCTTAGCAACTAATGGTTTCCATGGAGACCACAAAGCACAGCCTCCAGAGCCACCAGTGAGCAGCTTGGCAGGGCAGAGAGAAGACACAACTCTCAGCTCCTCCAGGAAC